CAATCCAATCAATAACTTCGAAAAAACATATCATTTTCAAATACCTAAATGAATTGGTAAAACTTATTTGCTTCATTGTAGGGCGTTGAAGTCGATTTTGTTAACCAAGAAAGTAGAAATCGAAGGAAGTCGATTTTGTTACTTGCTTCACCCGACTGGCGATTGTTGATTGATCGATTGTTGAAACAATGAAGGATTATACGAACAGAAGGTCACGAGTCACGACTGTGAACTATCAACTCAGGAGCCAAGGAACGAAGTCGGAAGTCCGGAAGTCAACTAAATTCTATATCGTTTTTTTTCCTTGCACCAATAATACATTACTCAATTAATTAGGATTGGACTATTTTTTTACAAATAATTAGCCCAATTGCTAATTTATCTAATTGATGTTTTATTTTGGGCTTGGGACAATTGGGTGGTTTTTATTATTTTTTTTCGTTTGGTAATTCCCGATAAAGTGACATAATTTTTTTTACGTAGTTGCATGTTTTTTTTACGTAGTGACACAATAGTTTAAAAACAAAAAACGAATTTTTTTCTACTACGTGCTCGGAAGCTAGGTGTTGTCGGTGCCACACCGGTCACCTAGCTAGGACCACCCCTGTAAATAAGGCTAACAACCCTAGGGTTAAGGTTTTTTGTCCAACGCACCTACGCTCGACCTAACTTTTCCTACCTCAACGTAGATCATTAAATCCCCGCATCCAACTTCCTATCTACACTCAACGTAGGGCAAAATTTCGCAATTTATCTTTAAACAAATAATAATATCTGTAAGAGTCGGGTGTTACATCGGGTATACATTAGTTCTCTAAATTGATTCATTAATGTGAGATATATCATTTAATGTTGAATATGTACAACTCACCAACTAAGCAATAAATATGTTTGTAATCAATCGACTTGTTGTCATAAGATGTGATTTGAACAAAAGGTGTATTTTAATGATATTATATGTATAAAGACAATAATTGACTATATTTTTTGTACTTCTTAAACTTGAATGACGTTTTTAAACATTTTTAATATTTAATTACCCGTTAGCTTTTCCAAAAATTTAGTCTTTCCCTCAATAATCACTAGACCACTTGGATGGCATTTTTAAAATTTGTAATCTTGTTGAATTATATCCGAAAAATTCGTAAATTATTTAGACAGTTGCCAAAAACAATTATGGTGGAAATTAAGATTTCGAAATGGATTAGGTTTAATATTTTAATATTGAAAAGCCCCAAACCTATCATGAAACGAATGGAGCATTTTAAGTTGACTTCAATGGCTTCCGAATCCGATCATCAGATAACTCCATCAAAACCGTTCTTCGCCACAACTTTGTTGGTCGTCACATTCTCATAGCAGTTTCTTCTTTTTACCCAAACCCTTGTCCCCATTTTCGCCTCGTTCAGTTTTTGTTTATATCCAAGTTAGGGTTTTTGGGATCTGGAATCATTAAGTTGTCGCGATCTCATCCTAATAAAACCCTAATCTTGGACCAAAGGATTTACGTCTTATTCTTTTCTTTTCCCCAAATTGCGGATTTCCCCTGTTTCAGTAATCATGTTTCTTATTTTCCATACATTCGATCGATTTGCTTATCTCGCGTATTTCGTCCGTATATGAATATCTATACAAACGTATACATATTCCTATAACTGTATATTGCTGTGTACAACAATAATTCCTATAACTTAATATTGCTGTATACAACAATAATTTTAGAGGCATGAAGCATTCAAAAAAGAAGAAGAGGCCTAGACCTCCGGTTCCGAAGACGAAGCAATCGGCTGAATGTGGAAAACCTGCCCCTGGTCAGATTGATGACCAATCTAGGGTTTTGAACGATTTGACAGAAGGAATTGCTTCCTTCTCCATAGAAGAAACCATTGAGAATTTGACTGAAACAACTTCGAATTCAAGTGCTAATAGGGACGATGATTCTGCAGAAAGTTTTGGAAATTCGACTGAGACTTCTAGTTCAAGTGGAAGCTATGCTTTATCGAATTGTGATGGTTATAATCATAGGATTGGAGGCAAGGTTAGTAAGGGACATAGGGGGAATAAAGTGATAGCTGCAACTGGAATGGTGTCGACTGTATTGGGAAAGGATTATGTGAAGAGAAGAGGGGTTTCTAAATGGAAGGGATTTGCTGATGAAGGTGCCAGCCATGAAGATGCTGAACAGTTTTTGTGCTCGATGCTTAGTGATGATTGTGAATTGGGCATGGATTTGGTCAAGGACGTACTTTGTGAGCATTTTTTTTAAAATTTTGTTTGATATAATTTATGCAACTTATTCTTTGATTTATTATTGTTTAATATATATACTCATTTCTCTAATGAAGAATCCATTTGTTATTTGGCAGGTCAGACTGCCTATGATGTTGAAAAGGTAATTTTGTCATTTTCAAGCACATTTTTGCTTTTTTGCATTAGTTTTTGTGGTCATCTTCCATCTTGTAGTATATATTTGAAAGCAAAATTAACAATGCAAAACTTTAGTCGGACATAATTACCAATGTTTTTTTTTTTTTTCTTTCATAAATATGTGTTCTCTTTATGGTGGTGTTTGTATAATATTATATTGTCTTCAGGCATTGGACATACTGCTTGAATTAACTGCTTCTTCATCTGAGCTTCCCAATAGTGGTCAACATCACACCTCAAACACACAAAGTAAAGATAATAGGGCTCCTCTAGAAGCAAGTTACAATGTAAGTAACATGTTCTTCATGTAGACATTGGTAATCATTAGTTGGTGTTCCTTTTTAACTAATGCAGACAACACTTAATGGGTTTAGATATGGATCATGTGAAAATGATACATGATGACCATGAGTTTTGACAGAAATTGTTGATGGTAAATTCTTTATAATCTAATATATTCTTGTGGCTATGATATCTTTATGACAGTTAACCAATAGGACTTCAGACTTAGCTTCATCATCTAAGAGTGATCTTCACAGTAATATATCATATACTGGCTGTAATGGCAGGTAAGAGGTCCTAATTATCTATATATATATATATATATATATATATATATATATATATATTACTTTCTTTTGTATTGATATCTGATGATTTTCTTGTTAAAAAAATCAACCCAAATATACACATAACTAATGTCATGAAAAGTAATCCAACAACTAAAACCAACCATATGTGTATTCCTTTTAGGAATTATTTCGATGTTCTTGCTAATAATTGTGGAAGTGGGCCCCCACCTGGCCCAAAAACATCCTCTGAACTGACCCAAGACGTGTTGGAATCTCTTTTCTATACACGAAAAAGTTCAAAACATGAGCCAGGAAGCATGAACTGGAGGAATGTAGTAAAAAAAATGGAGTCTTTTGGGCAGATGCTTGATTATCCTTCAGAAGATACTAATGATACAACCAAAAAGCAACAGCATGTTTTTGGTAACCAAAATTTTATTACATCTGTTGAAAATTCAAATCAGTTGGTTTAACTCGTAACTAACTTGTCTTTGTGTGTGTGGTATATAATATAGCTAAAGGGGACGATTATCATAACTATAGGAATACTGCAAGTCAGCATTGGGATTCAATGAAGTCCTACTATCACAAGGCATTATTTTTTTTTTTTGGGCATCACTTTTTATGGTTTTGATTATTCTGGTTTTATTTAAGTTTAGCATTCTATTGTGTAGGCTGCAACTGCATATGCAAGTGGAAAACGGGAATACGCAGCATATCTCTCAGATCAGGTATTAAATGGAATCCATGTAAATAAATTGAATTTTAAAACACTGCTACAAAAGCTTTCGATAACAAAATTATAAAAATTTGATGCAGGGAAGGATGTGTAATGAAAAGGCTCGACAAGCAGATGAAAGGGCAGGCCATGATATATTCGATTCAAGGTTTGTGACTCTGAAAGAAAACCGACCTATTTCTGTTTGGTGGCATTTATGTAAATATATTGAGTAGTTGGCTGGCTATAAAAATAATATTGAAATTGAATGCAGGAACAAGACGTTTGAGAATGTGATAACAATTGATCTGCACGGACAACATGTGAAACAAGGGATGAAGCTTTTAAAACTCCACCTATTATTTGGCGCATATGTTCGTTGTAAGCAAAAGCAAAAGAGCATCGTGTATTATTATTTCTTCACTTTCTAATTGTTTCTAATCATGTTTTTGTTTTTGTGATGTACAGCTGTGAGGGTTTTTAGGGTTATCACAGGATGTGGGAGTCATGGATTAGGGAGGTCAAAGCTTAAACAGTCGGTATGAATTATGAAGTAATATACTTGAATGATATGTTATTTATTATTTGAGATGTGAGAGATGGTTTTTGTAGGTTGTTACTTTGTTAGAAACAGAGAACATTGATTGGAAAGAAGAAAACAGAGGGACTTTGCTAATCAAACTTAATGGGCAGAGAGAGTTCAGCTTCTTGGACTCGGGGAGTGATTCAGAGTAATATTTTAACTTGAATGTTGTATGGTATGTTGAAAGAAAACAAAGACATTATTAATTATGACCTTAGACTTGAGATTGTAATTTGTAAAGTAACCTAAGGTTGTTAGTTGGTTTTAGACTCGGGCTCTCAGGATTAGTTGTAAATTGAGCTAGTCCTTTTTATTTTATCTTTTTGTGTATTCATGCGTTAACTTGAATGTCAGGAAATCTTTTTTGTTACATCTTCTGTCATCATGTTTTATGCACATTCTTTCTTCAAGGAGTGTTTTCTGTTCATTTTGCACACACAACAGAGGTGATACTTATGTTTAAAACTTAATACATGTCTTTTATTTGCTATATACATATTTCTCCCCCCAAATCAATTCAGTTGATTCTTTAGGGTTATTGCAAAGATAATAAAAAAGTATCTTTTCATCAAACCATAGAAGCTAGAATATGGAATATAACTCTACATATAGATGTAAATGTGGGAAGGAATCTAAAAAACTGTTTTTATAGATGACGTTTGGTTAATAAAAATATCTTGCAAAATGTCATGCGTTGTAAGTCTTAAGATTTATTTTCAAGTAATATAGTAATTGCATATCTATAGCCAACAGGTGGAACATGATGGACAATACATGTGAATTCCTAAGAGTTGGGCTTTTGCATACATCATTGCCTTTTCCATGATTAGATGATGCATTTTGTCAATGGATCTCTGAAATTTAGGCTCCCTTCATTTTGTGGCTCATAATTTATTTGGTGGTAGAAGAGGAATTATGGGATCCATTTACTTCCACTATCACAAGGTTGTATGGATTTTGGTTATTGTTCTCTCTTTTAAGAATATTGCAGCATGTACCTAGAACAGCTTCATATGTTCCGCCTGTAATTGCTATTAAATCACCTTTCTGTTACAATAAGTTCAAGTAACTATGTTTAAATACAATTATAGAAAATTTCTAAGATGCACAAAGAACAAGTTACTTGCAATGACACCAATTATTAAATTAAAAAAATAAAAAAAATAAAAAAAATAAAAAGATAAATGATCATGCAGCATTTTCAAGCACGCACATGGTCTGTATTCAAAATCAAATACAAAGTCAAATAATATCAAAGGTACACAAAGAACCATAATATCTTTATTATGTGTATAAGTTGTGATGTTAATCACTCTTTGGAACGCTCAGTTAATTTTTTTTCTACAAGTCAACGTTGTCACTGTGAACTTTCTAAAATTTCTGCACCAGCATTGTCTTACTTTATGGAGAATAGGACAGTTCCTTCTGCCAAAAACTGTTCAAACCCTAGATTGGTCATCAATCTTACAAGTTTAGATTTTGAATTTGAAAACTGGAGACCTCAGTCTCTTCTTTTCTTTGGATGCTTCATACTTGTCAAGTTATTGTTACAATCATCAGCAATTTTGTATATGTTTCTATAGAGGAGCTTTGGTGCTCTTTAAGGTTTAAATACCATCACCATATTGAACCCCTTATTGCAGATAGAGCTACTATGTTCTATTCACGATTCTCTATCTTGGTGGTGTTGGGTTTTTTTTTTACCATAATAACTCTGTTTTAATGATAACAATATACTATGTAAATTTATAAGCTCTCACTCATCTCGTTTTTACCACAAACAAAAGTTCATTCCATTCCGTGGTATTTAAGCAAGAAGTTCACTTCAAAAGTTTTGGTTAAAATACATAGCATGAACATCTCTTAAAACAAGAAAACTAAGTATCATAAAGGAAAAACATCAAACCTAAAACATAAAGCTTATTGTTATTAATTATTATTATTATTATTATAGAGGTAGTTCACCACTATCAGCAATTGTTACTTTTGCTTTTGGCGATCCACTTTGTGTCCCCTCAGCTTCCATCTTGTAAACAATATCCATACCAGACAACACCTTTCCAAATACAACATGTTTACCATCCAACCTGAAAATAATAAATTACAATTACCATTATATCCTCTAATTAACCATATAAATCCAAAGATATTAATTATGCTCATTCGTAATTACCAGCTGGTTGTCACAGTTGTGATGAAGAATTGTGAACCATTTGTGTTTTTTCCAGCATTTGCCATTGACAAAAGTCCTGCAAAGTATCGTTTATTTATCTGTTTTTGTAATTTGACGATTCTACTATTCTTTCTCATGAATTAGATTTTACCTGGTCCAGTATGCTTGATCTTGAAGTTTTCATCCTTGAACTTTTCACCATAGATTGATTCTCCTCCTGTGCCATCTCCATTAGTAAAATCACCACCTTGAATCATGAAACTGGGAATAATCCTGTGGAATGCACTTCCCTTATAGTAAAGAGGCTTCCCACTTTTTCCAACGCCTTTCTCCCCTGAGATGATTCATGATTCCCAACATAAATAAAAATATCAAAAAGATAGAGTTTTTTTTTTTTTTTTTGGGAAGTTAGAAGAACATAGCATCAGCATACCAGTGCACAATGCTCTGAAGTTTTCTGCTGTTTTGGGAACTGTTTTACCAAAGAGACCGAAAACAATTCTTCCTGAAAAACCAAAATATAATCTGTTAAATATATCGCATATGCATGATTGATATATGAAATATGATGATGCTTTAAGATGTAAATAACCCATGAGTTGAAATTACAAGGAAAACGTATGGTATACCAGCTGGTTTTCCAGCAATCTCAACATCAAAATATACTTTGTTAGTCACTTCTGTTAAATCTTTGTTTGATTTCTTAGCCTGCATACAATATGAAATCCAAATTTCAGAAAGAATCAAATATGGTCTAAATAAGATGAACCAAAAAAAAGAACAATTGGAGTCTAAAATCTCATATTTCTTGCTTACACAAACAGGCATATAAGAATTCAGATTCCAAAACAATATGATATCCATGAAACATGATCAATACTTATCACATTAATTGTTTGACAACGATATACCCAAAGACCAAATTGGAAACAGTACAAGCATAACTACAACTTCAAGACCTTTAATTTTTTACATTCAAACCTAGTAATAATCTTCTCAACACATATCTTATAATGTTTCAGCTCCAAAAATTGTCTATGATGATTCCTTTTTGTAGTTGATGTAATTATCAATTCAACACACTAAAGCAACAATCCTTAACCCAGTTGCCACTTCAAAGACAAGACAAAAACAATACTTTAATTTTCGGGTGAATAAAGTAAAAGCAATCATGCTAAACAATTATCCTCCAGATCAAACACTCAATTTAAACACAGCGGATGAAACAATGATGCAAAAAAAAAAAAAAAAAAACGAAACCAATCGATTCGCATCAAACAGATCCATTACAATATAGCGGCGACAACAAATTTCAGATAGATCAAATCAACAAACCCTGAGAGATCATAGATCGCTTTAATGATCAACTAAACCCTAACAACAAATGTCGCAACAGGAAGAGATATTGAATAAAATTGAAGAGCTAAAACATTACCTCAGTGAGAGCTAGGGCTCCTATGAGAAGCAGAGAGCATAGAACTGCAGCCGATAGTAACTTCATTTTGGCGACTGTGTGTTTGCAGTGCGTTAGACGGAGTTCGCCGACTGAGCCGTCGTGATGTTTATATAAATAGAAAAGTGAGGTATTTTAAGCAAATAAGATGATGACACGTTGTTCATTGACGTGGTTTCTAGGTATTTGATTGGTTCAACTACACTATGTTCAAAGAGCGTCCTAATGACATGTTAACTTTTAATCTTTACTGTAAAACGGTGTCGTATACGTATAACGGGTTGAGAAATTGTCCGATGAGCTACGAAATGGGCTAATACATATACGAAATCAAAAGAAGACGACCACCACGATATACTAATGCAGTAAGTTTTAATGTCTTTTATACGTTTTTACGTTTGCATTTGTTATTTAATAAGTATAAATATATTTGTAAAAATCATATTTTCTCATATTGATCTAAGCTCTAAAGTTTTCGTAGATAGCATCTGCGGAAATATCAAATTTATATAAAAAAAATGTGGTTTTTCCAGAAAAAATACAAATTTGTACATATCAGTGTGAAAATATCATATCTATCTTAGAAATCACATATGTCAGATCATTACAAAGGTGTCAAAAATATAGATCTGTCATTTTATAATATATAATTATTTTTTTGGAACCACGATTATTGTTTTACAGAAATGTACGTTTTTATCACAATTTGCAACGTTCATTGTTGCACCGTGTCGGCCAACTGAAAAAAACTGGGTTTAAAACATTAATTTGTTAGAGCAATTTTATCGGGCAAAATGTAATAATCCAAAATATGATCCAAAAATTTTGTTTAATAATTACTAAAAATTTCATGTCAATATCATAAAATAAAACTCGTACATCAATATCTCAAAATCATAGCAAAGTATCACGAGAAAACTGTATCGAATTATATCAAATCACATCTATAAAAAGCTAAATCAACTCCCAGGACAAACTGAAGTTGTGGTGTGTGCGATGCCATCAACCCGAGCTCTTCCCTTTACTTGCGGAAGTAGTTGAAACCAAAACTAAAATTGTAAACACAAAGCTTAGTGAGCTCCCCAAAACTATCACATACCATACAATAACATATAAACACATACTGGGTCTTGCCCACTGCATCAAACCGAAGTCCGGAAACTGCATCGGACCGAAGTCCGGAACTAACCAGGGTCTTGCCCTCTGCATAGGACCGAAGTCCGGAAACTACATCGGACCGAAGTCCGAAACTGACTGGGACCTTGTCCCCTGCATCGGACCGAAGTCCGGAACTAACTGTATCGGACCAAAATCCGGAAACTGACTGAGAATAACATAGCATAGCATAAACATATCAACTGGCATGAACACATAAACTGCATACTGCATCGAGCCGTAGCCCGGAACACATAATACATAAACCCTATCTGAGCCACGAAGGCATCAAACATCCTAACTACTGCATCGGACCGAAGTCCGGAAACTACTGCTAGTTAAACGGGTCGGCATTGTGACCTTAGACCCGTTCCTACTGGAAGGAAACTCACCTTGTGACGCTGATTGCTGAAATCCTGAATGAGAAATCCTTGGCGGCTGCTCCAGCTGCTTCCCAACTATAATGGGAAATAAATACTAAATCAGAATATGGATTCTTCTATGGGTAAAATAACCATTTTACCCCTACTATGGTGTGGGACACAACATGGCCCAAAACCTCAATTCCTTCTAAGTCCATCTATGGCCCCAATATAGGCCCACTAATGGCCCAATTTGCTATATTGGGCCTAGAATCCTTTAGTTGCTTCTTTGATGGCTTACAAGTCTCATAAAGGCTCCAACTCCCACAAATAACATTCTACTTCCATAAAACCAACTAGATCTCATGCATGGTTCCATATAAGCCTCAAAGATCGAAACTTTACTACTATAGGGACACTTGAGCTTCAAGGATAGCAATCCCAAGCTCCAAAAACGAAGTTGTAAGATAAAGGTCCCTCCTTTGGACCTAAAAGGTCCAAACTTCCAAAAACTCCTAGATCTAAACTTACAAGAGGAAAGTTGAAAGCTTTATACCTCTTTTGAATGCCAAATGAAGGAATGATCCCAGATCTATGAGCTCAAGGTACTCAAGTTCTCCTTCTTCCACTTCTCTTCTTCTTCTTCACAAAAATAAGCTCAAAGATCAAACACACACAAGCAAGGAGCAAAGGGGACGAACTGGGGTTTCTCTGGGGTGAATGACAAGTGAGGAGGCCAAATGGGAGGCTATAATGAGGTTTAAATACGCCTCAAACCCTAAAATTAGGGTTTTTCCTCTGGTCGCGTATGTTGGGCGTACACTATGGTACGCTGCGCGCACGCCTCTCCTCCTCGCGATTCATTTAGCCCTTACGCCCAGCGTACAACGGGTTACGCCCCGCGTACGGCTTATGGGTAGGCTATAACTTGGCCCAAAACAAAAGGCCCACTCTCATATATAATTCTATTATGGCCCAAAATAAAACTTGATAATTAATTAAATTTATACCTCGGAAAACGATCGTTACAGCAAAAATCAAGATTTTTGTGTTGACTCCCTTTAATGCCAAATATGAAAGTCAAATATATAAGCTTTTAAAAAAACATCATTTTAAAGGTTGGTTGAAATTGAATCACCATTTTAGTGTTATATGGTTGCAGAAGCTCTTATCCAATGTTGTTGCCGACCAATAACATGAACCCTAATACACCATGTTATTAGGGTGTGCATCAAATTGCCTAAAGTGCATCCCGCCATATTATGGGTGTTTGTAAGTGCTTTTTTAACTTTAAAATGGTTTTTAGCAAAAATACTTTTTGACTTATGATTTTTTCAAAAAAATAAAAATAAAAAAATGTTTGGATTAACTTTTGTAATGAAAAAAGTAAACATGTCAATTTGTAACGACCCAAAATTTAAAACCAAAAATTTCTTTTAATAAATCATTACTTCAAGTAAAGTCATCATTCCAAAACATATTATGAGTATAAGTTTTCAAAACACATGTTCATTATCATAGTAAAGATTCCCATGCTGTCTAATCTATGGTGTGTGCCATGCGATCACCCCGAGCTTTTCCCTCCGCTACCGGAAGTACCTGAAACCAAAACTGAAAACCGTAAGCACGAAGCTTAGTGAGTTCCCCAGCCTACCACATACGATGCATAACCATATACCACACATACTGGGCCACGCCCACTATCTTGGGCCTCGCCCCTACCTCGGGCCTCGCCCGCTACAACGGCCCCGCCGTTCCAGGCCCCGCCTGGCTTCGAGCCCCGCTCGGATACAAATCTGTTTTACTTAGGCGCCGCCTGTCACAGGGCCTCGCCCGCCAACAAATAATAACACATAAACATTTCATAACTAACACATACAACTGGTTCTGTCCTAAGGCCTCGCCTATCCTGGGCCTCGCCCATGTCCTGCTACTGATGAGTCATGGGACCCCGTCCACGCTCCAAATGGTAGTGAGGAACGGGCCTAGCCCACTCTCACTCATGTTCTAGTTCGGGCCTCGCCCCTATTCTGCTACTAATGAGATATGAAACCCCATCCACACTCTGCTACTGGTGAGATACGAGACCTCGCCCACACTCACCTCCCTACCAGGCACATACATGTATCACACAGACAACAAGTATAAACTATCATATAAACAATTCCTTGGGCACCCGCCCGCTATTACTAGACCTCGTCCTGAAAATAATACTAGCATACTGTGCCTAGGGCTAACTGTCACACCCCAAAACCAGGAACGGCGGAAACGTTCTGGGGCGGAGGACGTCATGTATAGTATCAACAACAATGCAAAGTAGTAAACAAGCAACAACATCATCCATTGCATTAATAATATAATTATTATACAAATGTGTTCTGTCAAATTTTGATAAACACTAAAGCATAAATCAAAATGAAAGATAAGTCTTGAATAATCTTCATCTTCCTTTCTCCTTGCATCGGTACCTGTCTATGATGACCTGAGGATACAAGTAATTTTGAAAGCGAGTATCAGCTTTAAAGATGGTGAGATCATAAGTATTTAGTGTCTTAATTTGTATGTGAGAAAATGTAAGTATATGAACTTAAAAGTATTGAAAGTGTATATGAACTGTAAGTGTTTGAAAAACCCTGGAATCCCTATGATTCCTATAAATAACAAAAGGAGTCTTCTACCAAGACTTAACTGTTCTGTATGTAGTCTTCTACCAAGACCTAACTGTTCCGAATGTAGTCTTCTACCAAGACCTAACTGTTCTGAATGTGTGTGTCTTTTGTAAGAGGATGCATTTTCCAAAGTATAACTAATATTATTCAAAAGTATAGTCTGTACAATAATGTTTAAGTGAGGTTATCACTAAAATATGTAATGGAAAATCAATGTAGTACTATGGTGTAGTGTCCAACTACAACCGTACTTATTACCTCAAATCCAAGGTAATACTTCCAAGTACTGTAGTATTTAATAAAAATAACTACATCGGTACTCAACTGCCTTATTTGATGGATAAGGTATAATGTGATGTCTAGATCCCAGACTATACGCTCCCCTATCAAAGGGATTTTGGGACCTACCCACGACCCCTGCATGAATGCAAGCCGTGAGCATCCACATTACCGGATGACCATGTATACTCGATATAACTATCACAATTGTGGTGTGATTCATCAGTATAGTTAGATCCTGAACTCGTTCCGTGCTATAGCACCTAATGGCGTCTGTTCTATGTATATGTAAGTGTGATCATGTAATTGTACTCAAGTAAGAGCGATCATGTAATAGTACAGTAGTGTACTGTAATGTTCTACGTGTGGTAGCTGTAATGTGTGTTCTCTCTATCTAGCAAGTATAGTAATGTAAACGTTCTAGTATTCTTGTATACATTCTCGTCCTAGTATAAATGTATATGTAATGTACAGTAATGTTCTAGAAAGTATTGACTCATGAATGAACTGACTCATTGTATGATATCGCGTTCTAGTAATGGTTCTAGTATCTTCCTGTACTACCCAAATGGTAGCTTACTAGTAAACTAAGTGGTACGTATGGACGTGGATGTATACCCTTGCTACCCAAGGGCATAGGATGAACTGGAAGAACCTTTTATGACTATATATGTGTACATGATATATAACTAATATTTAAACGACCTTCGGACGAATACCCAAAATCCCACCAGACCACATCTCAAGGCGCGAAAAGGAAATAGGGTGGATAGCCTTCCTAAGTCTTTTAAACATTTCTTATATAAGTATACATATAGAGGCATGCAATTTATAATAAAATAAAAGCATAAGTAAGTTTTGTAAAACAATTGAAACAGAAATATTATTTTAAGAGAAGATCGACTTGATGTCAATCTATAAAACAATTTGAAGGCATAAGTATAATAAAACAGTTTTGAGTATAAGAAACATTTGTTTGAAATACAGTTGTAAATAAGT